AATTGATTTAATAGTATTCAAAGTAAAAAAAAATTCCACATTTTTATAATGAAGGCCTTTTCCTAGAATCGGTCTCTGTGTGTTAAAACCCATTTTTATTTTCCAAGAGTCACCCCATAGAACTTTAAGCTATATTCTTCAGATAGAGGTTGATCAGACCTTAATAATAAACAACAAAATAGACAGCTCAAGGCCTATAAACTTTTGAAAAAAACTTGCAACTTAAAGACAATGTGCCACTATCAAAAGCATCAGTACTTTTAGAGAGTGTTGAGTTGTATTTCCACCTTGTATTATCTTGATTCCACACTGATGGGTGCTTGAAGATTTTTGAAGATTTACCAAGTAATATTTCTACATCATCACCTTAACCAATTTTCAACCTCTGTTGCTGTTCATTCTGCAGATTATAAACAGAACCAAATAGGTCCAAAACCGAAGTGCCAAATTGGGTTCCAGAGAGAATTGTGAGGGAAAGCTAATTGTACTCAGTTTCAATATTTGACTAACCAAAATTCTGTGTTGGAAAAAGTGTTAAGAAAGTCAAAAGTGTTGAGATTGCTGATCATGTCCTGCCTGTCCAGCATAGTTAGTCCATTTTCCTGCAACACAGAAAGGGAAAAGAAGGGTTTGTTCTTTGTAGATCCACAGCTAATATAAGTGAAACTCCAACAGTTGCACATGTAAAGCAAAGCAAAAGGCTACATAGGCTAGCTTTAACCTAGTGGCATTCATAAAAATAAGAGCCAGCACTCGCTTGTCTAAGGCTTTGGCAGCTTCACAGATTCCATGGGCGAATAGTGATGCAGTGATGAAATGTTTTGAAAAACTGGTTCAGAGTTATATTACATCATCTCTCCCTCAGAGGTTTAATACCCACCAGCTTGCATATAGAGCAAATAGATCAATGGTGGGTGCTGTAGCTATAGTCCTTCATACTGCATTGTTACATGTGGAGTAGTAGGGGAGCTGTGTACAGCTGCTTTTTGTGGACTTCAGCTTGGCATTTAATACCATCCACCCTCAGAGGCTGATGGTTAAACTACAGGGCCGGAACTTCCATATTCCACTACAGTTTTTTGTCTGAATGCAGTCAGAGGGTTAGAGTAGGTCAATATACATCTACGGTTCTCAACGTTACTATAGTTGTGCCTCCCAAGACATGCCTCACAGGACAAAAAACTCGCAAGACAAATGGTTTTGGCAATGGGGTTGGGTTGGGTTGATGACTCGCAAGACAAATGTTCCTATGAAATAAGAATTACTTGTCCATGGAATTCATAAAATGTTCTCATCATGTACTTGTGGTGGTGTTACTCTGTGCTCCAGGCCCACTATGATTACATAAACTTCAGGCAGATTTTTTGACTGTTGGATTTAGAACGATAGTAATAACCACGTTATCAATGTTGGAATAGTGATTTCTGTTCCTAGTTTCTTGGGTTGGAGTAACACTGTTAAGCCCCAAGAAATATTCTGTAGCATGCCAATAAGTAAGCTGCTTGTTTAGAACAAGGGTCCTATATGTCTGTTCTCTAAAGAGACTGTATTCAGTTATTTGAGAATTAACTATCATTTGAGTCTATATAACACTTTGTTGAATCACAGAACAATAGCACAGTTCCAATAATATTGTATCAGGTTGGACACCAGTCATTTCTTTAGAATCTCTGTCAACTGTTGTACTAGGTCCCCTGTCAAGGTGATAAAAATGAAGATAGCTTGCTGTCTTTCCACTGAAGCTTTCCCTAGAACCTAATAACTTCCCTTAATTCCAGTTTTACTTGTTCTTCTTCATAGTTAAGAAGAACTGAGTTTTGTTGAAGGCTTGGGTTCAGATTGAAGAGGTAGGACACCTCTATGCAAAGAACTTAAATTGTTTATGAATAAGAGAATCAGAAGGACTGGCATTTATTTTGTTAATATAGTAGGCTTATTCCCATACCAAAAAATAAAAAAGAAAAAATGGAAGTAAGTGGTAAGTGGTGTGAAATTTTGCTAGCCACGAAATTAAAAGACACCTGCTTCTTGGGTTCAGATTGAAGAGGTAGGACACCTCTATGCAAAGAACTTAAATTGTTTATGAATAAGAGAATCAGAAGGACTGGCATTTATTTTGTTAATATAGTAGGCTTATTCCCATACCAAAAAATAAAAAAGAAAAAATGGAAGTAAGTGGTAAGTGGTGTGAAATTTTGCTAGCCACGAAATTAAAAGACACCTGCTTCTTGGGAGGAAGTTACTATAGTTGTGCCTCCCAAGACATGCCTCACAGGACAAAAAACTCGCAAGACAAATGGTTTTGGCAATGGGGTTGGGTTGGGTTGATGACTCGCAAGACAAATGTTCCTATGGCTGTGCTTTGCAAGACAAATGTTTTCTGTTTTTTGTTCCTGCCTCATGTTTGTTGATTTTTAAATGTTTTTCTATGATGTTTAAAAAGTTAAAGTTTTTTTATTGAAATTTTTGAAATCATCTGCACAATATGTATGGCTTTAAAGAGCACTTAATAAACTCTTTGTAAAACAAATTTGACTTTGTTCTGACTTTTTTTGCCCATAGGAACACATTAATTAGATTTCAATGCATTCCTATGGGAAAACGCATTTCGCAAGACAAATTTTTCACAAGACAACATTAACCACAGAATGAATTAATCTTGCGAGACACCACCGTATTCACCACAAGGCTGTGTGCTGAGTCTCCTGCTCTATGCCCTCTATACATATGATTGTATTTCTGCTTATAACAGCCATGCCATAGTTAAGTTTGCAGTTGATATCACAGTTATGAGGCTCAACTCAGAGGAGAATGAGTCTGCTTATAGGGACAAGGTGGAATGATTGATTAAATGGTGTCGTGAGAATAACTTGCTTCTAAATATTTCAAAAACTAAGAAGCTTGTAATAGATTATAGGAAGAAGGGGATGGATATTCCACCATTATTCATCAGTGGAGAGTGTGTAGAAAGGCAACACTTTTAAACTTTTCTCAGTGCATTAGAACAGTGCTGTGTTGGGATATTGGTGGATATTAATGGGATGGTGTGACGTGCCCCTCATGTGTCCCCAGGTTGTTTCACCAGCCCGAGGCCCAGGACACATTCTCTCCTTTCTGCTGCCACCAGTTGACCTCTGTCAACACCCTTTAATTAGAAAGATTGAGGGCCAAGCTGAGTATAAAGTTGAACAACACAGGTTTATTGATTAAAAAATTACTCTAGAGGTTGATTAATACGTATTCTGATTAAAACCTTGAGTAACAAGAGGGTCTCCCTGCGATGGAAGAAGCACCTGGTGAAGCAGTTTGGAGGTTTCCTGGGCCCTTTATTGAGCTTTGCTGTTGCTCTAATAACCAGTCTTTTAACTAATAAGTGCTCTCTATAATTTCGACAATCTTAACTGCCTCCTTTATCTCCTAACTCTGCAACACTCTCTAACTACCACAGACTAACTTCTACTTCAGTCTCTCTTCTTTCACTCTTAAAGAGTGAAAGAGAAGAAAAGTTTAGTTTTCCTAAACTTTTATTCTCTGACTCACTCACTCCTCCCTTCTAGTCTCTCTGGCTCCGCCTCCCAACAGCTCCCATTGGTACATGCAAATAATCTTCTACATGAGCCAAAGCAGGGTGATCGCCATAGATGGTAACCAGGATAGAAGAAGCAGGAGGGAGGACAGAGCAGGCCATCAGCTGTGGTCCTTTCTAAAGATGCCAAGTGATCATGCCAGTCAAGATTAGATTAGGAAAACAGCACAGAGAAGGGCTTAACCTCTCTCCCCCTGTTCTATGTTACCTCTATTTTGATCAAATTTGGAGACCTAAGAATATAAGAGCCCTGCTGGATCAGACCAAAGGCCCCTCAAGTCCATCTCCCTGTATCTCACAATGGGCCCACCATATGCTTCTGAGAGCACATGAGACAACTAGATACCTGTCTCTTGAGACCCTTCCACTGCATCTGGCATTTTGAAGTACAGTGGTGCCTCGCATAGCGAACGCTTCGCTACGCGATGAAACCGCACAACGATGGGTCCCGGGCCATTGCTGGAGCGTTCGCTCAGCGATGGCCCCTATGGGCTTTTTTCGCTATGCGATGATCACGCGGACGCGATCAAAGCATAGCGAACAGCTGATCGGCGGTTCCAAAATGGCCACCGCTAAAACAAAATGGCGACTGCTGTTTTGCCTCGCTAACGAGGCCTCCAAAATGGCCACCGCAGTGGAGAAAACTCGCAGAACGGTGAGTTTTAAGTCCATAGGAACATATTAAATCAGTTTTAATACGTTCCTATGGGCTTTTTTGTTTCACTTAACGATGGATTCGCTGAGCGAGGGTTAATCCGGAACGGATTAACCTCGCTAAGCGAGGCACCACTGTACCTTCTTTTTAAGCCTGGAGATTATACATCTCCATCATGGCTTGTAACCTGTGATGGACTTTACCTCCAGAAATCTTTTTAATCCTCCTTTTAAAGGCATCTAGGCCAGATGCCATTTCCACATCCTGTGGCAAGGAGTTCCACAGACTAACAATATGCTGGGTAAAGAAATATATTCTTTTGTCTGTTCTCGCTCTCCCAACACTCAATTTGAGCGGATGTCCCCTGCTTCTGGTATTGCATGAGAGATAAAAGAGCTTCACTTTATCCATCCCCTGCATCATTTTATTCATCTCAGTCATGTCCCCTCTCAGGTGCTAAAGAGCCCCAAATGCTGTAACCTTTCCTCATAAGNNAATGGCATTATGATACAGTATTGGCTGTTTTATTTTCAATCCCCATTTTAATGATACCTAGCATGGAATTGCCCTTCTTCATTGCCACTGCACACTGGGTTGACACTTTCACCAAACTGTCCACCAGCACACCAAGATCTCTTTCCTGATCCCTCACGGATAGCTCAGAACCCATTAAAGTAGCACCTGGTTACAAAAATAAAAGGTCACTTACTGGGGTTATACTTTCTACATGATTATTCTTAATCTTTGTCTCCTCTCTAGTTCCTGCTCATTTTCCACAAAGCGGCAGCTGGAGAGCTTGAAGAAGACAGTGGACTGATGGCTTTGGCAAAACTTTCTGAAATAGATGTTGCCCTTGAGGGGGTAAAAGGAGCCAAGAACTTCTTTGAAGCAAAGGTAAAACAAAGAGCTTCTGGTCTGGTGCTAGGAGGAAAAAGGTGTACTCCAAGTTGTAAGACTTTAGCTGCAGACACATTTCTTATTGATTAAGTGCCATTGAACACAATGTTATTTACCTCTGATTCACCATGCACATGCAAAATTATTAAAGTAAGGGTCGCTGTGATGCCTGATGATATTTAAATATATTATTCATATTATGATAATAATTGTATTGTTTGAAATGCATTTGTTTGGTAAGTATATATGGGATGAGGTGAGTGAGATGCATGGCATACTGGTAAGGATTGTCTGGGATATACTAGGGGAGTGGAGTAATTGGTGAGGTTTTAAGGCAGTCTGTATGGAGAGATCAGGAAGAGGGTGGTTTGGGATTTGGTGGAAAGAACAGACTGAGAAAGCAGTCTGAGGTAGAGATTGAGGGGGGAAAGGTGATAAAGAGAGTGAAGAATCATACTGGATGAATTTGAAATCTAGGAATAAACAACATCTTTTGGTACTGTTATTTTAATAAAGCTTTTTTAGTTCTATTCAAGCAGAGTAGTGCTGATTTCAGTAGTAGGGTTGGCTATTTGGAGGGGGCCTGAGTGAAGGGAAAAGTACGGACACATAGGGACAACTAAAGATTGGTGGCAGGGGAAAAGAACATGAGGAAATAAGTGAAGATTATTAAAGAAGACACATTGTTTCTGTGGTTGTTTAAAGAGACCATTACATAAATAGTCAGGTGACAAGACAAAAGGAGTTTTGACAATGGTATACGAGAGCAGGGTAGGACAGTCCCCAAATAGCCTTGTATTCCAGATTGTTCGCTATGCATGCCTTTCCTGAAGAAAGGAGTCTGTCAGATAAAAATATTCACATGGCATGTTTAAATGTCTGTAAGTGAAATTAACTGTATTTGTTCAAATGCATCAAGCTTTCTCCCAGATCAAGTTCAGGGGAAATGAATTCCATTAGTCTATGTCTGTGTTGTGAAATTCAGCTGTATGCCACTCTGGTGGGAATTGGTGACATCACAAAGCCCCTTCCCCGTTCCTGACATGATTTTTTTTTTAAATCATTTTGAAGATGTAGGAAACTCCATTTAACTGTGGGAGATAATGTGGTATGACTCCTATGAGCTGCTAGGTGTGCAGTGTAACCAGAACTTAGCATACGTTGGACAGCAGAAGCCTAGCTACTTAAATAACTCAAAGAAGTTGTGAAAAATGAAATGTATGTCCATTTCCTGATTCTTTCCTTGTCTTACCTATTATTGCTGTATTTTAGGCTCAAGCTTTATCTTCTGCCAGCAAGTTTGAAGCAGAAATAAAAGCAGAGCAAGATGAGCGAAAACGTGAGGAAGAGGAAAGAAAGCATCGCAGAGCAGCCTTCCAAGAACTCAAATCAGCATTCAGTCAGTAACCGGAACAGTCGATCTGTTTTCTGAGACTGGTGTACATTCTTTCAAGTTTTATTTTTAATTAGTCAACTACTTGAAGAAACAAATTTGAAAATTTCCCCCTTTTAAATAGCCTCCTGTCTAGATTTTGGAGGATATGCCACACAGAAGGCCATTCAGAATGATGCCACCCCCCCAAAAACAAACAAACAAACAAAAATCCCAATTTTTTGCAGGTACAGACCATAGTTCCTTCATGTACAAGCAAACATTCTAGTCTTCAATTTCTATCCTTTTCCTCCTTACCCTATAAAATAGAATTTTTGGGCAGCACCAGTATGAGGGGAGGAGATATTGGTTGGGACCCAGGGCTCTTCTTGCATATGAGGTAGGCACTTCCTTTTGTGCAAAAGGGTTTCAGCTAATTCCTTGCTCTAGTTGCAAACTTCCGAATACCCTAACTGTCCTTTAGCCTCAAGAGCAGGTTGTCATGGGATGTAAATATGGCAACTAGAAGAAGAATCGGGGAAGCTCTGGTCCATTCACATTTTTCTGGATCCAAGTCACTATTTGACATTGTCATGTACATTTTCTTCAAGGACACAACAGTAACTGCTCAGCTTTGTCCTTCCCCATACACAAATGGTTATACTCAAAGGAAAAGAAATAGGAGTCATAATAGTACTGACTACCTCTCTGGTCACATTCCATTGCATTCTCCGTATGGGTCCATAGCTATTCTTTCTTTTTTAGCCATTGGACTTTAAGAAATAAGGAAATATCTATCAATATGTCTTTTAGGGAAGCAGATAAAATAGTTTGGAGGCACATTAGCTTTTTGTCCTGGCAGTTTTTATTCTTGTAGGTAGGAATACACCTATTTCTATAGCTATGATGTACATCAAAATGCCAGTTCAGTAGCTTCTGCTTGCAAAGGAAATAGGTTCTAAATACAGAATGTGGCATGTTACTCTGCTCAGCAAACTTGTACTATATTCAGAATTTACACTTATGTATATACAGGCTGCATACATAGGCAAGGGGAATGCCTCCTCAGATCACAAATAAGGAATCTCATCTTCATGTTTATTTTCACTTGTCTTTTTAGCTTTTTACACTGTGACACTAAACTGTGAGTGTGGAATAATAAAAGGGAGCCCATCTACATGTTATGAATGGGCAGGAGAATAGCTAAACAATTAAAATTGTATTTGCAAGTTCACAGATTATATTTGATAAAAATCACATGTTTTAGCTAAAATATTTATAATAAATGTTTTTATACATTATAATGTTTGAATTATTATTTTTCTTTTCTGATGCTGAGTTATGCAAATAAAACATTTTTAATTTTATAGAGGCTAACTAAATCATGGGTTCTTTGTCCATTATCTGTCTCCCCACCTGGTCATCAGATCATGGATAAATATGACAGCCATAACGTCCCACTCTTATGTCTGAGGAAGTGGATTTCATCTATGAAAGCTCAGATTACAGTGGTGCCTCGCTTAGCGATCGCCTCGTTTAACGATGTATTCACTTAGCGATGAGGTTTTTGGAGCGATTTTGCGCTCCGTTTAGCGATGTTCCCTATGAGGAAATTTCACATAGCGATGTTCGGGACCTTAGCGATGACAGTTTAGGTCCCCCTGTTTCGCTTAACAATGTCCGTTTTCGCTATTTTTAAAGTCTCTTAAAATGTTCAAAACTGTTTTAAATGCTTGGGATCGTTAGTGCACCTTGTAAAACCTTTGCAAACTTAATTTGGCTTTGTTCTGAGTCTTCGTTAATTTTTGGTGAATTTTTTTCTCCCCCATTGGAATGCATTGAATAGACTTCAATGCATTCAAAGTCGCCTAGAGTGGTCCATCAGTCCAGATAGGCGGGGTATAAATCAAATAAATAATAATAATAATTCCAATGGGGGAAACATTGTTTCGCTTAGCGATGTTTCCTATGGCGATTTTCGCTTAAGAATGGTAATCCGTTCCCATTGGAATGGATTTACCGGTTTTCAATGCATTCCTATGGGAAATGGTGTTTCGCTTAGCAATGTTTTCCCACAGCAATGTTTTTTGGGAACCAATTAACATCGTTAAGCGAGGCACCACTGTATAATATAGCGATAAGTCTTTAAGATCCCACAATATTTTGGTCTCTCATTTTTTTGTTTTGTTCTGTTTTTTTAATTGAAATAGTTTAATCTGTTTTGTCCCTCAGTAGTGATGGTAGATCTCTACTCTGGAAAAAAAAACCTGTCTGCATGTACCAATCAGAGGTTCGGGCTGTTGTGAAAATCTTATTAGTACTATTATTTTTCATGACAGTAGAAAATGGCTGAAATCCTATTGGCATAATTTATGCCATGCAGGTAGGATGACAAAATCACTCCACAATGTGAATATCTAATTTAAATTACCTGAAAGATTCCTATCCCCCACCTTCCAGATTCTGTGTCTCCATATGACTTCCTTAGGAAGCCTTTGCGATTTGCAAGAGAGCCTGAAATAGTGAAAAATGGCTACCAGATTGTCCTACCACTATCCTGATTTTGCCAAAGGATACAATCATGTGAAGAAATAAGTTAAGAGATCAAAAGGACAGACATTTAGTAAGAAATTATTTTTTTCTTAAATTATCTCTGCAGGTTTTAGTCCCTTTTGTTGACAGTTGTAGCACTACACTGCATTATTATAGTTTTATGTAGTGCAGCTGTCAAAGCTATATTTAAAAAATGTCACAGAAATAAAATCTGTCAAAATCATGACAAGAAAATGCCAACGAATATGGAAAGCAACAGTGGAGACACTCAGTAGATACCCCAAAGAGTGTGGTAGCCGTAGGACCAATGCATTAATCTCCCATGTACGCAAAGTGATGCTCAAAGTTTTCCAATGTAGACTCTACCATACACGACACAAGAAATGCACAGTATTTAAACTGGATAGATGCTAGAGATCATCATTGCACATTTTTAGGATTGAAATGCTGGTTTGAAAGTAGCATTACTGGCTAAAATGTGGCTAGTTAAAGTACCTGCACATTCCTTGCTTGATTAATATGATGTGAAACATCAGTTCTACCAGTACTTTCAGGAGGGAATATAAAAGAAGGCAGTAGTGCAAACTGAAGATGATTGACTGCTCCTGGAATATATCAGTTATCAGTTCTTTTTATTTGAAGTGAAGTAAGTATGGGTGCTACTTAATGGTGACAAATAAAATGCCATGCTGTGTGAGGTGGTAAGAGTAGAAAACAGAACATTTCAACTTTGGAAAAAGGGTTCACAAGAGGAGGAAAGAAGCTACTTTAGATACTTGCATTGTCCTCACATGTTTCACAAGGTATGCATTCACAGAATGTTTCACAAGTATGCTTTGACATACATACATGAAAGATGACATAAACCAGAAAGTTGTTTTATCTAATCTAATAAATTAATTTAATAAGGTAGCCAAAGCTAAAAGAGGAGTTAGGGACAACACTTTGAGAGAGTTGAATCTTTGCATTTAAAATGATGTGCGATACAGAGATACAGATGGTGCTGACAAAGAAGATAACTGGACATTTAGAACTCTTGAGCATTTAGCAGTTTCCATCAGATGAGCCTGGAGAGAGCTTGACCATACCTGTATGAGCTCTGGTAACCTCCAAACTAAAATGCCATAATGCATTATGTATGGCTGCCTTTAAAAGCTTCTCAGAAACGTACAGTGGTCCAAAATACAGCTGCTAAGTTACCTGCTAGGATTAGCTAAAGCAAGGACATATTTCCATTTCAACAGCTCCTTATAGCCTATTCCTCCAGCATAGTAGAAAGGGCTGGTATTTAACTTTCTCAAGCCATATAAAGCTTGGAGCTTAAGTATACAAAGGAGACTATGTGCCATATGCACCTGGATGGGAGCTTCAGCTGCCTTCTGGATGTGCCCTATCTTCTGAGATTAGACAGAAGTTGGATCTTCTCAGTTGTGGCACTCCACCTTTTCGCTGCTTTTCTCAGAAATTGCTGCATTACTGTGAGTGCCAGGCAAAGATCTTTTGCATTTTCCTGGACTTTTCAAAACATAATTTGAATTGTCTCACATTGCTTCTGGGCCAATATGCTTCCAGGCCAAATTCAAGGTATTGATGCTAACTTATAAAGCCCTTTACAGTTTAGGAACTTGCTACCTGTCAGAGTGCCTCTCCCTCGGGTCATCTTCTAGTCCCACCCACACCTCCCAGTCTTTAATGTTGCAGGTGACCACTCCAAAAGAGGCTCAGAAGGCATCAGCCAGAAACCAGGCCTTCTCAGTAGTGGCCACTCTGCTCTGGAACTCTCTTCCTGTGAAGGTACGACTGGCCCCCACTCTCCCAAGCTTCTGCAAGCAAATTAAAACCTGGCTTTTTACTGAGGCCTTCCCAGCACCACCATCTTGTAAAATTATGCTGGCCCGTTGTCTGCCATCCTATGTCCCAAACTGGTGATTTGTGTGTGTGTGTGTGGGGGGGTTGTTTTTCTTTTAATATGTTTTATATTGTTTTAATATTTTTAGCTGTGTGTTTTATAATATTTTGTAAGCCGGGGGGGGGTTGTTTTTCTTTTAATATGTTCTATATTGTTTTAATATTTTTAGCTATGTGTTTTATAATATTTTGTAAGCCGCCCAGAGTAGTGTCATGCTCGCTAAATGGGTGGTGTATAATTTAAAATAAATAAATAAATCGTTGCTGCTATTGTCTCTGGGATATATGGTGAGATATACATAAGTGTTGACATACCACTCAACAATGGATTTAGTCTGCTGTTTACCAGCAGTGTCATAGGCCTTACTATTCATCTTCCTGACTAATATGGTTTCCTGATCCTAATCATGTTCAGAATGTGGCAGATTACATTATGTTGGACAACTACCTTGTTTTCTTGCTATTCATCATGCAGACATGGGAACTGCAGTCCAACATCTGGTGGGTTACAGTTGCTTGCTCCTGTGCTAAACGTTAACTAGTAGTAGTGGGAATAATTTAACTGTGTTTGTTTTATTCTGTACAGAGATAAAAGGTGTTTTAATGTATAGTTTACTAAAACATGGCCAAGAGTCAGAAGCTGTTCGACAGCATATACAGTATAACAACAAAATAATTTAACCATTATTTAACGAAGGGCAATATGAATCATTTCAACCAAGGAGGTTGTTTACACTCTGCTACAATGCCATTTACTTGTATTTGAGACTT